TGCATTAAAAAACCTCTGAGTTTGCTAGACTAACACCTTAGTTAAAAGATTTGAATAATTTTTTAGTTATTTTTTTATTTAGTTTCAAGAAAAAAATACGTAATCGCATTTAAGTTAATTTTTATGTAAAAATGGGGTTACTTTAACCCGTACTTAAAGTAACCCCATATCATTTATTAAATCTCCAATCATTTAATTTATAATAAATTAATATACATTAGTTTATTTATTTTGGTGATATAATGGGTGATTAGTTTGTTTCTTTATTTAATTTATTATTAGCATTATTATTATAACAAATGTAATGAAATTAAAGTAATTAACATATAGTATTATATTATATATAAACAACATATTTAAAATATTATATGTTAACGACTTTTTTGTTGTAGTTTGTTTGTTTTTGAATTATTGTAGTCTCTGCTTTGAATTAGTATTGACTTACTATTTGCATTGTCCCTTTACAAAAAATAATATTTGTTGCCCTTAAAAAAGGTTCCTTTGCATTTTCTATTCATAAAAATAATATTGTGTAGTTTTATTATATTGTAAACAGTATTTTTGTTGTTGGTAAAATATATTGATTAATTTATACTTCAGCTTATAAAAACTGCCAACAATGTATTCAGGAAGACCAGGCTCCAGAAAATATGTAGATTATTCTCAAGAAAAGCTGCAGTTAATTTAACAGCGCCTTAATGCTATTAATGAAGGCCGAATGAGTCAGAGAGTAGCATCTAAACATTTCTGCATATCTAGAATGACCATTCAAAGTAAACAAAAGCTAAAACACAATCAAAAACCGGACATCCTACAACATCTACTGCTTTGCAAAAACCTTTTTTTTTGTTTTTCACATCTTGGCAGTGTCTGAGTTTGGATTCCTTGTTGATGAATTGGATTTTAGATTTATTGTCAACGATTACCTCTCTTCCCAAAACAAAACTATTCCACAGTTTAGAAACAATTTTCCAGGATTTGAATGGAGTAAATTATTTTTAAAAAGAACCCTATGCTCACTTTGTGATTGGCAGCTAATATAAAACGTTATCGGGCTGCTGTTAACGAAAAAACCTTAAGAGAGTTTATTGAAAAACTTAGCCAAGTTGTTGCAAATGTGCCAGCAGAAAATATATACAACTATGATGAAACAAACTTAATTGATGACCCAGGCCGCAAAAAATTTATGTGTCGTAGAGGCTGTAAAAACCCTAAAAAAGTAATGAACTCATCAAAGTCCAATATTTCAGTCATGTTTTGTGGCAACGCTGCTCGATGTCCAAAACGACCTTACGTTGTCTACAAATCAGAAAATCTGTGGTCAACGTGGACTGAAAACGGTTCCTATGGAACAAGGTACAACCGCACAAAACACGGATGGTTAGATAGTGTCACATTTGAGGAGTGGGTTACTGCTCATCTGCCTCTTATACTAAAAAAACAGACTGAAAAAAAAGATCTTATTGGGGATAATTTATCACATATCAGTCAGAATGTTTTTAAAATTATGTCAAGTAAATAGCATTTTATTTGCGTGTTTACCACCTAACTATTCGCATTTAACACAGCCTCAAGATGTTGCATAATTTAGGCCACTAAAAAGTAAGTGGAAAACTGCTTTAATTCTGTGAAAAGAATCACCTGCAGGTAAAAAACTCACAACACTTCCAAAAGGACGCTTTCCACCACTTCTAAAAAAAGTACTGGAATCAATAAAAAACACTAATAGTGAAAATTTAATATCAGGTTTTGGTAATTGTGAAATTTATCCTTGTAATAAAAAACCTCTTATTAATTGTTTGCCACTGCAGGATCGATCTGATCTGCTGATCTAAGCCTTATTTTATAAGCATTTATCAGTCATTTAAATGACAATTGCACAGACCATGTACCTTCAATATCAAAGCGCAAAAAAAAATAAATATTCCACCAGAAAAATTAATTCTGTCCTTACTTAAAAGAATCAAAAGTTGTACGAGTCAAAGATGCCCTTAGAAGCGTCCCAGAAACGTAAAAAAATGTTAATTGTGATATCTCTAGTGCAGCATCTAACAATCAATATAAGTTTAGGCTTCGGGCTTTTAAATCTGATTAAAACAATTATTTTTAAACATTAAATGTTTATATGTAGTAGTTACTTACCTACCAATTTAGCTATTGTTTTATTATAACAGAACAAAAAAAAGATTAATAAAATATACAAAGTTTTATAGTTTCTATTTTTCGTTAACCTTAAATAGGTTTAAAAATAGTTGTTTTTAACAATATAGAAGTATTTCTTTAAGTAAATTTTAAGTAAGTTTTAACATTATGGAGGAATTCACCTAAGTAATTTGTAAGTAAATATAACAAAAAAGCACAACAAGCATAAATGGCTTAAAGAAACACCAACCCAGAGTAACATTATGCCACATGAAAAACTAAAAAGTATATCCGTTTTTAATTTATCTTATAAATCAATAAGTTCAAATTAAAGGTTATTTATATATTAATATATATATATATATATATATATATATATATATATATATATATATATATATATATATATATATATATATATATATATATATATATATATATATTATATATATATATATATATATATATATATATATATATATATATATATATATATATATATATATATATATATATATATATATATATATATATATATACAGCAATGATTTTCTTTGCTTTTACAAAAGACTAACTTTGCTTTACTAAGGCCAACATAAATTTTGAAAAATTTTGTCATGCAAAAAAAATATGTTTAAAAGTAAAAAATATTACATATTTTTTTAATATGAGCTCACTATTTATTTTTTGTAATAACTTGGTATTAAGTTTTTTTTTTAACTTCATTTATAACAAACGTAGCATGTGTTTGTTCTTGCAATTTTTAAATAAAATTTTAGCATGTTTATTAAACCGTCCAACTTTTAGCTTGTTTAATTTCCTTATATTTCTACATCAAGCGACCTCTTTTGGTACTTTTTTTTTTGTAATATGTTTTTGTAATATCCTTTTTGTAATATCCTTTTCTAATATCTTTTTTGTAATATCTTTTTTGAAAACTCTCTAAATGAAAGATTGTACTACTGCATTTAAAAGTTGTTGCTAAATCTTGTTGTGACTAAGTCAGATCTCAATGAGTTAAATCAAATATTGCTTTGATGAATTGAGTCAAATGTTGCTATAGAGTAAGAAGATTGTTATTTTTCAAAATAGAAATACCAAAAATATTGCAACAATTTAATGCAGTAAATAAATAAGTTTTGTTATCTAACAAAAACTGTGAATTTTAAATTCACAAGCCACTGCAAACCTTAGGCTGTTAAAGCAGAGAGATCAGATTAAAATTGGGCTGCTTATTATAAGCAATTAAAAAATAACTCAATTGAAAAGTAATCTCAAAACCTTTATGTAAAGAAACTAATAGCAGAGTTCAGTCTTGAATTGAATAGTGTTTAAGACGAAAATTGAATAGAGTTCTGGAGAAAAATTTATTAAGACCCTGTTGGAAAGCTATTCCGAGCACAAACTGTGGAAGTGCTTAATTAGGAGTTAACTTTAGCAATGGATGCTGGAGTGATTTTCATGTTTAACAATTGTTTTATTTGTTTTACTGTCAGGAAGAATATGGCCATTATAATTAAGTCTCAAATTAGAGTAAAATTTCTTTGCTAATAATTCTGCTTTTTTCTGGGAAGAAGTAAACAGATCGGATCCATTAATTAGGGACTAAATGTTAGACTTACTTTAACTAAGAACACGTCTAAAGACTCACCAAAAGTCTCTAGAACTTAACATGTGAGATAAGATACATGATTTAGTAAACTGAGAATAACAAAGTTTAACATCAGACAGGATGTTTAACTCTGTTATTCTTTTTTACTGTTTTGCTTTAATAAAAAGATATTTGTACTTAAAAGAGATGTTTCTGTAAAAATGATGAAAGAAAAAATGATTAATGTTAAGTAAAGCAACTGCTCAAGATGGTAAAAAATAAGAATGAGGCTTAACTTAAAATTAAGGAGAAGTGATAAAAGCTTCAAACTTTTATTGAAGAAGTAATAAAAGCATCCAAAATGCACTTTATGCATACATTTTAACAATATAAACATTTAAGTTTGATATTTAATTGGATGCTGGCATACAATATCTTTTAATCGTTATTCAAACTTTAGTATTTATATGGATTAGTATATGCCGAAAAAAAAGTTGATTAAATGAATGTAAGGTATGACTTTAGCAATACAAAAAATGAAGGCATAATCTTAGGCAGATTTGAAAAAACATTGAATCAAACAGCATTTCTTAGAATAGATTAAAGTAGTATAAGTATTAACATTAAGCGAGGTTAAATAGAAAATAGTATAAATAGTAAGGAATTATATAGTATTAAGTAAGGAATCTTGAAGAGAGTGCCTTACATAATGTGTTAATGAGCTTGAGTTAAGAAAAATATGCTCTGTTTATATTAGAGAAACAGCATAAAAGGGGAAGGCTAAGGCCTGATGATAATGATGATAATGATTAAGATGATGATGATGATAATGATGATGAAAATGACAATGATGATAATGACGATGATAATCATCATCATGATAATGATCATGATGATAATAACGGTAATGATTATGATGTTGATGTTGATGACGAGTGTTTATAAACAATATATATATAATTGAAAAACTTAGAGTATTTTTCTGATGAAAATTAAATTAAAATTATCTAAAACAATTATCAAGTTTAAACATTAATTTCAAAATTATGACAGCAAACTTAAACATAAAAAATAAAAAAATATATAGTAGATGTTGAAAATATACATTAATATATGATTATATATATATATATATATATATATATATATATATATATATATATATATATATATATATATATATATATATATATATATATATATATATATGTATATAAATAATTTTTTATTAATAAATCTGTTCCTTGAAAAATAAGTAAAGACTTACATAAAGTTATTTTCATGAAAAATTTGAAACTGTAAATTTTCCTTATACTTTTCAAAGTCTTGATTAGAACCACGATCTATAAATGCCTTGCAATTCTCATTTATTACAAGATAAACATCTTTTGATTTTCGATTTTTTTTATTGGATGATGTTATTATAATTTTTTCAACAACATTTTCGTCTGACCAATTAGTTAAAACATTTCCAATAGTTTTTTCATTTTTTAAAAGCTCTTCATCACTTTTTTTTATCAAAAATCTATAAACTTTATCTTTTAATTTTTTAAATTTATCACTTATTCCTTTATTATCATTTAAAGGCTTTTTGTTGTCTTGATATTTCTTTACTAACACAGTTAAATGTGAGTTTGATCTTGAAATAGCATCAACCAGAACATGCCGAAGATAAATTTCTTCTGGACTCACAAATACAATTACAGATTGAGACTCTGCTCCTGAAAATCCTTTGCAGTCAGTTACAAGAATGTCCATATCATTTCTTAACATTTCTTTTATTTTGAATTTTGTTTCTAACAATGGTGAGTATTTTTGCAAATGTGGTGAATAAGTTACCGCTTTAAAGTTTTTAACATTATTTATTGCATACGCAGCAGATTGCACTTCTTCTATGTTGTTGCATATAACAACTGTTTTTCTTAACACATTTAAACAAAGTTTTTCTAATATAATGGACAATATTTTTACAGATTTCTCATTTTTTATATCATAAAAAGGTAAATATACAACCTTGGGTTTTTCGCCTTTAATGGAGTGTCCTATAACACCAGATTTAAAAACATATTCAGTCTCCATATAATTATTTGGATCAATATTAAATTTACTTGTTGGTAAAATGTTTACGATGAAATCTTTATCAATATCAAAAAAATCAGTAACATTTGTATCAAATAATTTGTAGTCTGAAGATTGATCTGAGATGGAGCCTGAATAATTATCAACAGTTTCATTAGTAACATTTGATGAACCTCCATTACCTTTTTCAATTTTAATAAATGCATAATTGTTATCTTTATCAACCTTAATTGTATCGTTAATTTTTTTATCGTTTTTTCCTCTATTTTTTACAGAATTAATTTTAGAATCATTTTTTATCTGCAAATCTTCACTTTCAAAAGAGTTTTTTTTATTTTCTTGCAATGTTTTGAGGTTTTGTTTTGGAATATTTAAAACACTTTTTGTTTCGTAAATAGTTTTTTGAGCAATATCAATTAATAGTTTATTGCATTCTGTAACTCTCATTGATTTATTTAGAGATATGACCTTCATTCCTATCAATTCTTCTTGAAAAAAATTTCTTTGTAGTGTACGCTTTTGTTTATTTGTTACTAATTCTCGATTCTTTGTAACACTCTCAGGAATAAAAACAACTAAAGAATCTTTCAATATAGATGCAAACAAATGTTTCATTTGAGTTGCATCTTCTTCTTTAACATATTCTTCAGAAAGTTCGTCAAATACAAAACATACTTTATTACTGTTGATGCTAGCCAAATGCTCTAGTAATTTTGGTAGAGAAATGTACATGTTTGAAATATTTTTGCTCTGACACATGCTTTTCCATAAATTGAACAAATTATCACAAACAACTATAACATTTGAAGAACATTTGAAGAACATTTTCTCTATGCTACCAACAAACTCTTTCATATGGCACTCATACAAAGAGAAATGGTTACAACATATATAATACAAGGTAAAAGAATTTTCTGAACTTTGTGTAATACAATTTTTAACAATCTCTTTTCCTACTATTGATTTTCCTGAACCATATCCTCCAGTGATGATTTTTTTTAATGCTTTATCATTAATTGCATTCCTTTGTTCAACATTAAGAAGCAATGTTTGTATTTGTTTTTGAGTATCTGATTCTAATGTAGGATAACAATGGTCAACTTTAGCCATTAGGACCATTGTTAAACTGATGAGTTTTTTAAATAGTACTTCATTATTTTGTGGATTTACTATTTTAATGCAGTATTCTACAACTGATCTCCACCAACTTTCAAAACTCTCATCTTCAAAGTCATCTTTACAAAGAAATAAAATTTGATCTAAATTAAATTTCTCAGAGAAGTGAAAAAATAACTCTTCTTTTAATAGTTTACGGTCGTGTAAAGGTAAAACTACAATTCCTAAAATAATCACCTTATTAGAACCGATAACAGGATTGTTTACATTAACAAATAATATGATATCATTTAAACAGCGCTCATATTCCAACTTTATGCATTCCGTTGAAGTGGCAACACGAGCAATTATAACAAGGTTGAACTTACAGAAAAATATTGTTATTCTATTTTCATCGTCATATTTTGTGAAATTTTCAACATTACAGTTTAAAAGAGATGCATGATAACGTAAATGGTAGCTAGGAAACACAGCACGTAGGCCTGTATGATTCACAGTAAATAAACCATTAAATTTGGAAACAACAAAATCTAAAATATCATTGTTAGCAATAGAAGGAGTGACATAAATAACATCATTCCAATCAGGAAAGTTTCTATTAAAATAATCTGATGCAATTAACTCTATTGGTTTATCATCAGGTACTTTATCTAAACGAATTTTGTTTATCTTTCTCCAATCCACTGATTCTATTGTTTTTATATACTTACTGAATTCATTGTTAAAAATTGGTGCAGGTGTTGCAATAAACAAACCATTATAGCACAACTCATAGTAGCAAATACCTGAATGAAAAATGTAAAACGTAAAGGGCTCAAATTAACACAAAAAGATTTTAACACAAAGTTTTTTTATTTAAAATTTTTTATTCAGTTATATCATTGTATTGTTATTATAAAAATTCATTTAAATTATCATAAAATTTATTCTTATTATACAAAACTTATTTATTCTCGTTACATAAAATTTATTCTCATTATAACTCATTATATTGTAACTATATATATAAGCTCATTATATTGTAACTATATATATAAAATAATTATACAGTTTATAAAAAACATAAAATAAGTAAAATAAAATGAAACAAAGCAAATAACTAGAATTATTTTAGTTAATATAAAAATATTGATGAAAACTTTATTATATAACTTTGTGTCATAAAACCTCAAACTTAATATTTTTTCACAATCAAAATAATATAATATCACAATTAAATCAAGTAGTATAATATTAAATCAAATCAAATAGTATAATACTCAATCAAATAATTTATCATATCCTATTTTATATCACTTGCTTTTAAGATATTTTAAGATAAAATATAAATAGAAACATTAAATGGCTCTAAGCAATTAGGCATATTGAATTATAGTGAACTGAAATAACAAAACTTAACTGGTCGTTTTAATTTATTTTATAGATAAAGTGACTGTGATGTACTTTATTTTTAAAGAAAAGCACAATAAGTTTAACTTTAAGATAGAAGCACAGATTTCAAGTAAGTAAATTCAGTAAAATGCTTTATTTTTAATAAAAATCCCCACGCAGAACCGCAAATGATTATACTTCAATTTATAAGTCTAGCATAGTGTGAATAACCTTAAGAAAAAACATTTATTCTATATTTTTAAAAATAGTAAAAAAAAAAAAAATGAAATAGAATGCTAAATTAGAAAAGAAAAAAAAAAAAATTATGAAAATATTAAAAAAAAAAAAAAAAAAAAAGTTGATAGCAAAAAGCCGTTACCGTTGTGATACACTTAAATTGAGCTCTGCTGTAAACAATTTAACAAATAAGTAAAAACATTGCATATGCATATGTAAAATATATTAGTAAGTTATTTTAAAATTAGTAAATTAATCATAAAAAAAAAGGAAACTGTAAAAAAAATTTGTAAGAAGAGATTCGTAATAAATTCGTGAGAAGAAATTCATAAAAGTAAAAAGGCATTTGTAAATGATTCGTAAAGAAGAAATTAAAAAAAAAATTGTAAAGAAATCATAAAAAAAAAGCATAAAAAAAAAATAATATAAATAAAAAAGTGATGCATTTGAAAATGGAAAAATATTTTTTAGGTTTACTCTAATAATTTGAATGTGATTCAATATTTCATAAAATTTTGATTTGAATAATTTTATTTTTAACGTAAAAAATAAAGATAACAATTAAAAATATTACCTGTAATAACAACAGAACGATAATGTTGAGATTTTTTTCCTTCTGAATCTTGTAATAAAAACTTGAAATTTATTTTTTCATTTTCATACAATAAATTTTCTACTTTAACAAACAATGTTCTATTTTTTTTTTGTGTTAAGTAATTAAGTACATAATTTTTTTCCTTCTTATTAATAACTTTCCAATTATTACTATCACTATATAATTGAAATTCAACTTTACATACATCTTCTTGCAAGTCAAACTTAAATACACAACCGTGTGGAATTCGATGTTCGGTTGCGCTGTAAAAAAAAAATAATAATAATACATTTTCTTATAAAGTATAATAATTCTCTCAAAAAATCACTTCTCTCCCTATTTTTTATAAATAAATTTTTAATTTGGTTTCACACAATTTAGTCTTTGATGGGGAGACATAATTTATGTAATATATTAGTTAGCTGATAGGAAATAATTTAATCTTTAATAAATATTACAAAAAATTTCACCAAAACTTAATTTAAATTTTAAACTTTCAAAATCATATTTAATTTTAAATTTTTATTGAAAAAAAAATTATATTAAGTTATCCAATATAAATTTATACTAAAACAATCAGTACCTTTAAAAAAATAATTTATAATCGAAATTTTTTTAACGACAATATTTTCTGAATAAAACCACTTAAAACAAAATCTAAAATTACAGTTTTCTCCGTTTGAAATTTAATGCCAGCGCACCAAAAAAATGCTGGTCTTGTTTTTATGTTGAAATTTGAAATTTAATGCCCCAAAAAAATGCTGGTATTGCTGTGAAGTTGAACAAATGAACAAAAATACGCTTTTTTTGCCATTTAAAACAAAACTCTTTTATTTTTTTTAGCAGGCACTTTTGTATGCCCTTGCCAAAATTTTTGCGGGCGTGTGGTCAAGCGCAATTATCAATAAAAAAAAATATTTAAAATATTATATTTAATATTTAAACTATCAATTTTGGAATGTTTAAATTATCAAATGATTATTTAAATATTCCAGAACAAAAAAGTTTTTGCTTAACATACAATTGCTGAATATTATTATAAAATTATTTTCTTTTAAATGAAACAAGCTCTCTTTACAGATACAAAATCAACTACCAAAAACAGACAGTGTAAAAATAATATATATAAAAAAAAAAAAAAAACATAAACTAAGCAACCAAAAAATAAACAACATAGAAAGATTTTTAATTACCTTATGTTCTCTAGACTTAACAAGTAATCTAAAAAGTAAAAATTTACTACTAAGTTTTTTTTTTTTTTTTTTTCATCATTTAAATTACAAGTTAAAAATTTAAAACAAATTTAAAAAAATTAAATTTTTTTATTTTTTTGTTACAGTAAAGCGTATGTTGTCATGCCTATGTTTTATTTATTTTGCAAAAATATGTTAATATGTTTTCATATATTTTAAGAAATATCTCATAATTTGCAGAAATATTTCAGAACATTAAAAAAAGAAAAAGTAAAAAACGTTTTTACTATTTAGTTATTTTTACCTTCAAATTTCCTCTCAATTTCAACTACGATATCGCAGCGCTCAATAGCTTCTAACACTTTTTTTAAATGCTCCCATGAAAGATCTCCATTTATTTGCCTTGATATTTTTAAAACATTATCAGCTTTCTCGTAACAGTTTCTACAGTTAACATTAATGTTATCAAGATCTGTATTACTTAGGTCTAGGTGTTTTCCCAATCGAATCCAATCACCTCCAATTTTAGAGCTTATTTCATCACAACATTTTGAAATAAACCGAGCAGAAGTTAGTATATCATTTGACACTAAATATATATAAGAAATTTTATTTTTTAGAATTTGAAACAAAATTTATAAAAAATAAAACAAAAATTGCTATTCATTAAATACATCCCTTTGTGGAACAACATAAAATAGTGTTAATAAACTAGAAAATAAACAATAAATATAAGAGAATTCCATTACCGTCTCTAAAAATAGAAAATAAATTTATCGAAAGAACCAAAGCAACAAAATTTTTAGGAATACTTATCAATGAGAATATTTCATGGAAAGCTCACATAAACTTATTAAATACCAAAATAAGAAACAACATTTGCATGCTTTACAAAGCTAGACCGATGCTACCCCAAAAAAATTTAAAGCTACTTTATTTCTCCTTCATTCAAACCTATTATACGTATGGTAATATAGCATGGGCAAGTACCCATAGATCCAACCTAGTGGCACTTTATCGACATCAAAAACATGCTGCAAGAATAGTATTTAATAAAGATAAATTTACTCATGCCGAACCTTTGCTAAAGCTTCTAAATGCACTAAATGTCTACAAAATTAACATTTACCAAAATTTGATATTCATGCTCAAATATAAACTCGGACTTGTCCCATTACATTTTTCAGAAGAATATTTTAAATGCAATAGAAATAAATATGAAACTCGAGGAATAGGAAATTTTAAAGTACCATATAAAAAAACAAAACTATCACGTTTCTCCATCTCGTATCGCGGCCCTTACCTCTACAACAAACTAATAGCTAAAAATACTATAATTACAAAACTACTTAACCATAATTCTCTGAAAACACTTTTAAAAAAACTTGTTCTAAACTTAAACAATTTTACAAACGTATATTAAAGCAAATAACTAAAAACCCCTAAAAAATCCACTTTAAAGCAAAGTAAATGTTAGATTTTATTTATATTTCGTACATGTCAATATACTAAGTATAACAAACCATGTAACTATATATTTATGTGTATCAAATACAGCTCTTTTCCGTTTTTTGTTTTTGATTATCTAGTAGCTTTTTATGTGTGACTCTTATGCCACCACGAGACTTTGACAAACTGAAATTTCTTAATAAATTAAGTATACAAAATATCGCAACTAAAAGCGGTTTCTTGATGACAAGACCAAAATGGTCTTCTGCAAGTTTCCCGCGTCTTTTAACAGTGTTACTTTTTTATATATATTATTAATTGTATTAAAAAAAGTTTTCTTATTATATGTACGGTATTTTTTTTTATTCAATGTAAACGAACTAGTTTATATTTATGATCACGTATTTGTAAAGCTTTGATAAAAGACAAAAAAAAAAAAAAAAAAAAAAAAAAAAAAAAAAAAAAAAAAAAAAAAAGGAATGATGACATTCTTCAAAACATGCCGTAAAAACAAACTTAACAACATTCCGTAGAAATAAACTTATCAGATAGGAATGTTGGATAAAACAAAAAGTTTTGGGTTTTATTCATTTAAAATGCTAAAAGTTCCAAAGTACTACCTGGAGATTTTAATTAGCATTTGATTAATTGCACTTATTGTTAAAAAAAAGCCAGTTTCCACTCAAGTAATTATGTCAATAGGCAAATCATCAGATATCAGACAAAGAATCTTTGCATAGAAAGATAGAAAAAGATTAGAAAACGTAATTTTTCTAGAACAACAATGAAGAGCTATAATAGCAACATCTAAACGTTATGTAACAATGCACAAATTTCACTTGCCATTGCAAAGGTAATAAAACATAGAAAAACATTTGTTGTGGTTTCAACAAAATAAAGCAACATGTCACAAAGCAACATGTTACACAGCACAACTTTCAAAACTGTACTTTCTTTCTTTTCTTTAAATATCCTCGCTTTCAGCAAGGCTGCAAGTAACCAGTATTAGAGTTGGAAGTTACTGGAAGAGAAAAAACAAAGTTTATATAGCAAAATAACGGCTTAAAGGTTTTCATATAATTCAAAAATTCATATAATTTTGCAAATTATATGAACTTTTTTGCATATATATGTACAGCTTGTTTCCAGGAAAACTAATTTCTTGGAGGTTCAACCTCTAGTTCGATCACATAAAACTCATTCTTGCTTGATTTGTCATTCAGCAAAGTCTTACTCCTTTACTGTATTTGTCCCTCCATGCTAATTCAATAAATTTGCTATTTAATTGTCTTTTTTTCACTGTTGATCTCTATAAAACTTGTTGCAGAGCAATTTCATGTCAAATAACCTAGAAAACTTTAAAAACTTCATTTATCTCAGACTGCTAATTTTTATAGAGTTGAGAGTGAAATTTATTAAAATTAATAAATTTCATGAAAATTTTAGCCCTCGCTCTAATATGATCCTGAAATATGACCATTTTACTTTTAAAAGATGTTGGCTAAGTTCCTTCCTTAACGTTTATTTATAGGTTTTAAATTATATGCTTTTAACCCCTCTAACGTTTATTTATAGGTTTTAAATTATATAATTTTAACCCCTCTAACGTTTATTTATAGGTTTTAAATTAAATACTTTTAAAAATATTTGATCTTTTTACTTAAAAAATTTGTACCAGGCTATTTTCAGGGGTGAAAACAGCCAGATACCAAATTTTTAAGTAACTTTTTAAGTATTTTAGTTTACTTTTCACTACCTACCAGATTAGCTAGAGCTCTGAAACCTTTGGTATTTCTGTAGTGCCAATAACGACGAATGTTGAAATTGTTTTCAGGGTCCAAGACACCAGGAGCAAAGCGGATCATGGGCACACTTTTTTTGTAGCAGAATCTTGTGATAGATTTTTCACTACTTTCCAGACTAACTGAAGCTCTGAAACTTTGAGCATTTGTGTAGTCCTGATCAACATTATTGAGCTAAAATTATTCCTGGGGCAGATGACCAAAGGGTCTATAAAGCTGGAGTACTCGGGGTCATGCCCCAATTTTATTAATTATTTATATTTTAATTTTAAATTAAATTATGACAAATTTTAAAATACTATTTTCTAGAAACTCTTTTTTTATACAGGGTCCATTTGGTTTTTGTTCATTCTGTCTTCAATTACCTGTTTATACGATTTTTTATTTGCAAATATATGGATTAAAAAAAAGTCATCCATTAATAAATAAAAATTTTAACAAAACTTTTTAAAATATTAAATTTCAACATATTATTGCTGAACTTAGTAGTGTTAGAGCTCGTTGAAGCGTGTTTGACAAAACCCTTGGCAGCCTTTACAATCTGCTTCTGAACAAAAAAGTTGTTGTTCAAGTCCTAACACTGGTGACTTATATTTTCTAAATTAATAATTATTTTAATATACAAAATAATTGTGAAGTTTTATAGAGATTATATATAAATATGAAACAATTACACTTTACAAATGAAAAGATTTTTAAAAAAGCTAAAAACAATAAAACACCGGTAGAAAATACTTGAGGCGTATGCTTCATGATTGAGATACTTATGTTATTAATGTGATCAAGTCCTTTGTCCTAATAAGATGCGGATGGTCTAAAAAAAAATTGTCTGAAAATTAATAAAGAAAAAACTTAATACGACATTACAATACAACTCTCAAAGGTGCTGATGTGAAAACAAAAACAAAAACAAAGTTTGCAGCTTGAAAAATCATTAAAACTTTCTTTTCACAATAAAAAGTTTTTTTGCTGCTCTTCATTTTTTTCAAAAATATTGATTATTTTTACCTAAAGGCGTTTTAAAAAACAGCTGCAGTATGGATTATACTGAGATAATTTGACGCAAAATTTAAAAGCTCTTAACAAAAACCACTAAACCAAAAAAATTTAAAAGTAATTGCAATTCACTGCACAAAAATTTTAAGTATAGTATACTGATGTTTGCAGAAACACCATATAAATCATTTTTTAATATAAACTTTGTTGCGCTTAACCATCCCTATGTAAAAAACATATATTAACAAATGTTATTTATTTATATATTTATTGTTTATAAAATGTTAAAATGTTATTGTTTATAAAACGTTAAAAATCCAATTCCAAAATATCCAACGTTTTATTTAGGATCGTATGTAATATAAAATCTTTTTTGCTCAAGCTATTTTGTTTTGTTTTTTGTTTGTTATTTGTTATTATATTTAAAAAAAATGACAAGATTGAAAAGACAAGAAACATATCTCATCTAAGTGGAAAACTTGAAACTTCAATTTTAGATTTGCCTCTCTCTTTTGATAATTTCTGATTGCTAAAGTTACGTCCTATTAAAGATATATGGAATATATTTTTATGGGAGATATATAGACAAAAAACTATATATTTATTACTATTGCAACAAATACAAATTCTTATCCGTGAAATGATATTTCTATACCAGTTCTATATCTTTTTGTGCAAATGTACGCAACATAATTAAAATATAACAAAAAATGTAAGATAAATGCAAAAGAAAACTTGACGCATAAAAATTTATTTTGCCACAAACTGAAGTCAAAGCGCAAAATTTTTTTGGATTAGCGTTTAATAGCTGAGGTTATTTCTTTTTATTTATTTCTTTTTTAGTTTTAAACCATAATCATAGGAGCTAGCTGAGATCAGACCCGTAAAATTACGGGTCTTTGTAAATCTATTCCAAACCGAACTTTTCTATAGTTTTTCTTTATATATGCTAGCTTTCAGGATTCCTATAGTACAAAAGGTCTTTATCAATTTATACTTCTATTCCTCGCCGATTATTTCTATAACTATTCCTTATTTACTTTAATATTTTTTAGTAAAATAATTTATTCTGAAAAAAAACTTTAAGAGTAAAAAACCTTACATGCGCACCTTTTCCATATATGTTGAGACTCATAATTAGGTTTGTTTTTCTGCTAAATGCATTTCATTGATAGCTCAGTCGTTAAGTGCGCTGTCATCAGTTTTGTTTTGGAGAGTTTAAGACCTCCTCTTAGCGTAATAAATTTTGAAATTTTTTCAATCTTGCTTATTTATTTATTTCAAAAAAAAAATAATACAATAAAAAATATTTCTAAAATTTAAAATAAAATTTCAAACTTTT